ATTATTCCTTCATTACATTTTCTTCTGGGAACAATGATTATCTGCAGCCCCCAATCTATTCTACGAGCAGAAATGAGAAAGCATCTTCACAATATACAGCTTGTCATCCATTACAAAATTAAATCCCCTACAGGTGGCATAGCCAAGGCATGTTTTTGCATTTCTTTCCTCTTTGGCAGGATAAAAAAAAGAAGCAGAATCACATGACGGTAATCCTGTCCTTCGGAAAAGACAAAATATCTATAACATTAATTGAGAGACAGAAAAGAAGTAGGACCTCTACATAAGCCCTCTTAACCAGCATTGCTTTCAGCCGATCTGTAAAGATTCTCTTTGCTTTACCATTTTGGTATAAGGCTCTTAATGGTTTGAGAGTCTTTGGAAACCTAAAATGTTACATTTTTTGTGCCCTTGATCAACCTTTTTCAGTAAAATTCACACATGAATGTGCTCTTAAATATGTTTATTAAAAAAAAAGGATGAAAATAGCACAATAATGGAAGGAACAATATTGGTTCCTTCAATTTCACTTCTTTGATGGTTATCTAATTTCACCATAATGTCACACATGTAATTTTATTACTTTTAAAAAAGTAAAAAAAAATTTCTTCTATCATTTACAAAAAAATCCATTACAAATTGAAAAAGCAGGAAAGCATTTCTTTCGCCAGGGCTCTATTTTGGTTTGAATCTAAAATTGACATATATGTAACTAAATTGGTCATTAAATCGAAACAAGTGAACCTATTTCGATAGCTCATCATCACATGAATGAACTCCCGGTAAAAGAGACCAGTTTTGGGCAAATGCCTAGAAGTAATTTGGCGTCTAAGTTGTCGTAAAGGAATGTGCCCCAGTAGCTGCCGGCAGCTCATGGCCACATTGGTTCCGATCGCATGCCTCTGGGATTGGCTTGTCGGAGATAATGAGTTAAGTCTTTTAGTATTAACTTTTCTATTCTCTATAGTCAGAGTCAGATGAACTTTAAATAGCAGGTCATTGGAGGGAGCCACTAGACTGTTAGGTCCTACTTCTTTTCTATTATTCCTCTAATGTTTCTGTCAGTCTGTCATGCTTTTTCCAACACCAAGTGACTGATAAGTTCTTTAAGAACTAAAAGTAATAAAGAAACTGAAACACAGTTTTGTACTATGATGGAAAAAATTTGAGCCGACTCTTTAAAAGACTTTCACATTGTGCAGACAGAAACAGAAACAGGCAGTGGAAATTCTTTGTTCTGTGAACAATGCCTTTAGAAAAAAAACTGGACTGAACAGAGCAAGGCAAAGAATAAACTGGGCTCATCTCATCCACCCTCTACTTCCGACAACCAAAATGGCTCTGAGGAAAGAAGCCACAAACACACAGAACATTTTCTCATTCAGAATCCAACTGCAATATTTATCTCAAGAAAAACTATTGAAAAATTATTTTTCATTTTGTACTGGATGATTCAAAAGCATCTGGACATTTGGTTCCCTTTTACCATGAAGTGAACAGTGACAACACTTGAAAATATTAGATCATGTCCAAACTTTCCCTTTTCTAAATGCACAGCAACAATTAAGTCCCCAATTCAAAATGTAAAGTTACATTTTATTCTAAAAGGACAGGACAGTGTACCTGTACAGTTTTCAGAATATCAATCTTGTAATCATCCTGAAACCAGAAAAAAAAGTAACTAATCAAACATACCCCTGGTAAAAGAGTGTAAAAAATACTTCAGTATGTCCCGACACTTGACGACATAACCGGTCACAAAGAGTCTGTGTTCACAACAGTCAACTGGGAGCAATGGTGGAATGAAGCGGAACAATATTGACTTAACAGCCACAATGTGTCATCTACATGGTCAGTCATGTCCCTGCAGAGCCCTCAGAGCATGAATGTCTGATCTACTCACCGGGAAATAATATATTTCAAACAGGCTTATCGTGGCAGAGAAAATACCCAACCGTATAGTAAAAATATAGGGAATAGCATTTATTTATGGAAATAAATACAGTGTAAAGGAATAGGTTCTAAAAAAGGACAAAAATGAGAGGCATAGCGGTGAAATCAGACGCTCGTCAAAATAATGAAATCCAAGAAAAAATTCTTTTGACCGATGGACAATTCTGCCGTCGTAAGGGAAAACGACGAATGGTCCTGCGCAGGTAGCGAGGCAAATTTTTCAGGAGAGGCAAAAACTGTTTTCACTTTATAACTCTTCTATTTTTCACTCTTTTAAGCTGTAATTCACCAGATATCTGATTGAGGTGTTCATAAAGCAGTTTCAAAAGTTTGAATGGTTTAGGTTAAAAAGTAGCAAAGTTATTTGACAGTCGTCGTTCTCCCATACATTGCGCGCCTGCAGGTAAGCCTTGCGATGTAAGCGAAAACGACGAATGGTACGGTTCGACGTTCTCCTTTACACTCGTGAATGTTGATGGGCGTAGGCGACGGTCAGTTGTAACGCACTATTGACAGTAATGACTGTGTACTGGTTACTACAAATAAAAATAAGACGTATACAAACTAGCTATTATACGTATAAAGTTAGGTGTTTGTTATATCCCAACTGTAAATCGGTAAACGTCTTTTGTTTCCCTTCCTCGCTTGGTTAAATACTACACAGTCAGTGTACAAATCAGATTGTGCACATTTTCAACAGCTTGATTTAAAACAGTCTCATTCGGAACCAAAGTTTGGTCTCTATGATATCTCTTTATAGTATTCTCTTCAGAAGCGAGTTTCGCTATTTGCAAAATTTTCCCTACACGACCAAAGGGATCAACAATGTTACAATGTCAATAATACGATCAGATCATTGCAAAGTTAAACTTTCACGTAAGAAATGTCACAATCGGACAAGACTGTATCACAAACGCTTTCGGGGGAGGTAATGCAACGCTTTTGTATTTAATAAAGGATTCAGTTGATCGGATCGGAAAACATACCACAAAGTAGAGATCGACGAGGACAGTTTGAATCTGCAAGACATTATTATACTCGACCATAACGTCCATCAAGTCATAAAAAATCGTAAAGCAAGTCTAAGTGTCGCCACAATACGTCCACTTTTTAAGTGGGGCAAAGAAATTAACCTCATAACGCAGTGTCATTAATTGCTTGGTTATTCTATAATGATGTCGACCAGTGACACGTGCTAGACAAATTGCGGCACTATACCCATCATTGGGATTTGGGATGTCAAATGACTTGACAGCAACTTAACATGACGTTAGTCTGTGAAATCTGGCGGACACTAATGTGCAGAGCTAATAAATGTATCCCTAAATACTTTTTGGACCCTCCCATCCCCACCCCTTTCCCCCTGTTCCCATCCAATTTCCCCTATCTCTCGCTTGCTCTTGTCAATTCACACCATCAGAATAGGCCTAATACGTGAAGACTGACAAACAGACACACTAAGGTATACATTCTTATAAACCTGGTCGACGGTACTCGGGGAGAGGGAGCGGTGGTGTGTTTGTTTGCTAAAAAAGCCTAGTATGTTTGTGCAGACGCAACAGTGACCAGTCGTCATTCGTCACCCATGCCAAATTTGCCCAACGGCAGAGACCAGGGGACAACGCCGAACTAGCAGTGATACTTGACCGATCGACTATTCGTCGTTCTCCCTTACACTGAGCTCTGTCTCGGAGCTCGCCTGTGTAAAGGAAAACAACGAACTCTCAATTACGCAACAACGGATTAGGATATGACAAAAATTTTTACACCATCAGATGCAGAATTAAATACTCTATGAAATATATAAAAACTTAAAAAATCGAAAAATCGAAAAATTTTGACCATTCGTCATTTTCCCTTACGATGGCAGAATTTTGCTCTAATTTTCTGTTGTTGGCTCAACACCTTTTATGTCCATTTAAAAACACACTTTTGTGTGGATTTTTATTAAAAAACATTGATTAAAGGCATAAAAAATGTAAAGTTTTAGTTACCAAGGACTCTCAGGCTATGGAAGTAACCAAATTTTGGCAGCCATTTTCTCGTTAATTTTACCTCTGAAACCAGGTGACCCTGACCTCCTTCAATCACAAATATTTTGACTTCTATTCAATATAGATGGATATTATTTAACTAAAAGGAAGACAAAAGAACAGAATTTAAGATGATAGGCCTACCAATAACCCCATATGCGCAAAAATTGACGAGCACCTGATCCCACCACGTCGTGACACAATATGGAGGAAAAATGTAACAAAAAGCCAAAAAGTATCCAGTCGTAAGGTATAACAAAGTCAAAGAAGTGGCTAGAAGGAAGATGACACACCTGTATAACATTATTTCATTAGAATATTATTTCTTTTAAAGTTCAGTAAGGTTTCAATATCAGTAGCTTCTTCTACTGCAAATATGTATTCAGTTTTATTTGTATCCACCTTATATTCCAGGAATGACTGTAACAAAAGCAACAAGACACCTGAACATTTGTCTAAAATATTTAAAAGTAGGACTTTCTTGTGAGCAGTCTGCAATGCCAGATCCAAATGATTGCAGCTATAAAAAAATGGTGATTTTTGTCAAGCTATAGGGCAGCAAAAAATTGGATATGATAACAAACACAAAAATGGCCCATAAACAGCAACCTGCTCCTCCCAAACAGCTCCTATTTTCACACAGGATATCATACTACATCCCTTACCCAAACCTTCACTACAACCCAATCCCCCTCGAGATCTCCTTCTGCTTTGAAAAAATATAATGTCCAGACAGCATTAACTTTTCAGATTTTAGTTAGACTTTAGTATAAATAAATGCGTGCAGGGTTGGCTAAGATACGACAAGGCAAGATTCCATTAGATTGAAGCTAAATCAATGGGTCAAAATTAAAAAACCACTGCAATGCATGGGCCGAAATGTATCAATTCCTACGTGTCGATCATTGGCTATCACAACACAGCCGCAATTGCAGCTGTTTGTTTGTAAACAATAAGATATCGGCAGATCATACTTTTGATGTACAACGAAGAATGAAAATGTTGCATATTTACCCACAATCACTCTACCGATGGCATTCCCCAAAAGAAGCGGCAAAGTCTATTGGACCCTTGCCAAAATATAGAAGCGGGCCCCTCAAAACTGTTTAGCCAACCGCCATGCATAAACAAAGGCTTGGACCATGGCGACGAAAAACCGGAATCACGTGACAACTTTCGCTTCGTACTTCGTAGCTCTCATTTGTTCTCCTAAAACTTATTAATTTCGCAATGTTGACTGCATAATAATATTATTATTTAAGTTAATATCTAGAGTTCTTGCTATTTCGCAAGCTTTTTAAACTTCTTAGTGGATAGCAATAATAATAATAATAGTAATAATAATAATA